TGTAAAGCATGTCATGTCCCATACTTCCTTTTCCAAAAAAAGCAAGCTTCACTCTCTTTTTTTTTTTTTTTTTTTTTTTTTTTTTTTTGTTTGTTTTTTTGGAAAACAACCCAAGTGGATGCTAAAGGTGCTGATAAGAGGAGACACCACTAGCATGCTCGGGGAGGCTCCATCTATTGGTGGGGAGCGGCACCTGCTGGAAATCGGGTCCAGCGTCCCTCAACAATTATAACCAGGTGTTCCGTAAACCACCCGAATTCATATCAATGTGCCACGTGTCCATCCCATAAAATGCATACGTAGTCAACCGAAACGGCACACTGGCACCCTCAATCATATGATGAGCAGCATTGATTGCCCTCAACCGAGGGGATTAACTGCTCATCGTAGTTAAAACGAAATTCCTACTCCGAAACCCTCATCGTCCACTTAATACCCCCTTCCATGTTAACCCTGTTTCGGGGGCTGGGGGTGGCTGGGGGTGGGTGGGGGGGCACGAGTGTGGGTGTATGTGTATGGGCGTAGCGAGTGTGATTGTTGATGTGTTGGTGTGTGTGGGCGTATATAGGCGTGTGTGATGACATATGGGTATATGCCCAAGCACGATGACATTGTTCGAACAACACCCTTGCAAAGGTATCCATTCGTGTGATGCGGCAGCCGTATGGAAGGGCTGCCTTGGCAAGACTAGGCGGAGTGTGGCTGTGGCTAACTTCTCCATCTAAAGCAAAGGATTGGGCCAAGGCAAGGCAGTTGGACAGCCTTTTTTTTTTTTTCAGAACCTCTTGGTTCTGGCTCCTACCATTCTGGGGAGCAACAGTCCGGTTCCTATTCCCCCGGCAAGTCAATGGACAGCTAACCCTAAGGAGTATGGAAACCTTGTATCAAGGGCGCTTCATGCACTGCACATGGAAAGGGCTTTTGGGACCCTCTTGAAGACTTGAACGGACAAGGGTTCCATATAATAGTGCGCAAGGGTGTGGGTCAGTCAGACCTAACCTTGCCTTAGGACGGGAGCATTTTCAGTCAGTAGTATTGGGTGGACGTTGGGGAGAGGGCCGTGCCGCCATAGGGCATGGAAATTCTAAAGGGGCGGAGAAATTTCAGGCCTCGCCATCATGGAGATTGAGCAGCTTAAAAATGCCATGCCATTCCAAAAGGGCAGAGCTCCAGAAAGGTCTAAAGGTTTCCAGTCAGCTCAGCAGAGTGCGTTATAGCTACCCGATCATGGGGTCAGACGGCTCAAAACCGGTGGGTGAAATCCAGAAAAGAGGGCAAAGGAAAATGAAAACTGGTTGTCCTTCGGGACATCCGTTAAAATTGGAACGATACAGAGAAGATTAGCATGGCCCCTGCGCAAGGATGACACGCATAAATTGAGAAATGGTCCAAATTAAAAAGAAAAAAAAAAGAAAAAAAAAAAAAGAAAAGAAAAGAAAACTGGTTGGGCGTACCAGTCTGAATCTGACCAGTGTGAAAGGGCTCGAAGGCTGCTAGCGAGCAGCTCTAATAAATATGCACGCGGTCTAGAAGGGTCATTTCCACATGGCACATTCTTAGTCAGCGGAGCAGAACGAAGCACGTGCCGAGGCTACTGCTCTGGAAGCAGCCTTCACCAAGGAAGCTCTACGTAGATGGCAGCCGACAATATTTGTAATCGCGATAGTTTCAGTGGCTATATCGGTCACAGAGGTTTTTGTCTGAAGAAGGAGATGTTAAGTGTGATGATTGCTAATCAACATGCGGGGGGGAAATGTACAAAGTTATGCTCGCCGAAGTAGCAGGCGATTTGATCGAGACGATCAATGAATCGCTGCATTCAAATTTCAAATTGATTGTACAAATTGGTGATTGTCATTGATTGCTACTTTGCACCGCATTTTATGCAAGTTCTTCTGTCTTTTGACAGCTCGCTCCTTATGCATTCGCGGAACTGTGAAATGACCCTTGACTGCACCTGTCTCCTCATTGTCTGCTCGCGTGCACCTATCAGTTTGATTGTCGGCTTGTCTGCGTGATTGTGTAGGTGTGCCTGGTTAAATGAGTTGCTAATCTTTTGTAGTTTGGAACTTGTGTATATATATCACATTGATGGATAGAGAGTTATGACCGTATCCGTAGTGAAGTAAAACGTTATCGTCCTCAGTCATGGCCATAGCGATTGCTCACTCGAAGAGTAAGGAGCCTGAGAGACTACAGGTGAAGCAACTTTTCAGGACTTGCAAGTTGCCTCAACCAGGCTCTATGAAGTGATTGCCACGGATTTTTTTTATTTTTCATTTTTTTTAATTTTTTTTTAAACATTTCTCCATTGCCACTGATTGGTTCTTAAGTGAGTCAATTTTGGTGGTCTGCTGTGGAAAGGACTATATGGCCGTGCTTGGAAGTCTTGCATATGTCATGTTGCAGTATGCAGGTGTTAGACTCCGATGATTTTCCAAGTCGAACATTCCTTAGGGGGGCGGAGATAAAGAAGGACGAGAACTTACATTCCGCACATTGATACATAAAGCTTGCTGAGCCCAGTTCGGCTTTGTGTGCGTGGAAAAAAAAAAAAAAAAAAAAAAAAAAAAAAGCCGAAAAAAAAAAAAAAAATCTGAAATTTTGAAAAACAAATATGTTGTCCAGGATTGGAATTCGACCAACTTTTGGCTGAGGGTCACTTCAGAGTTCCTTATAAACTCGGAAAAAAAAACAAAAAAAAAAACGAAAACTAAAGCCAAAATAATAAAAAATAATATTTAAATATACCCCTTGGAACTTGGAAGTCAAAATCCCATTCAACCCTCTTCAAAACCCATGTATACCTCCATCCCGGCCCTTTAAAACCCATCTATACGACCTCTTCAACACACTCTTCCCATAGGGCGGGCGGGTGGGTGGGCAGGGTAATCAACAGGGCAATCAACAAGCTAACCGGGAGGGTGAGCAGAAGGAGATGAGAAAGTAGAGTATACAGCAGCATGCAAAGCAGCAGAGTCGCAAGGGATCATGCCACGGCACAGAGACAAAAGTTAGCCAGTTGACTATCGATTTGTTCAGTGATTGTTTTTTGTTGTGCAATAGCAGAAAGCAAACTTGGATCAAGCAGGAAATCATCAACTGCTTACACCACAAGTAGAACTCTACAGACTGCAGGTTCACGCCATCATCAGAGTAAGGTAGTCACCACTTCAACAAATGTCTGTCATCACCAGGGAACACCGGCACAACAGGCCCCCTAAAAGTGTTGCAGACATTCCTTTTTACAGAACAAAATGATCCATGGGTCACGAATCAGATATTGAACTGATCAGCACAGATACTACGCTTTGATCTATGTTTAGCCAAAAGGCCGAGAAAGGTGGTATTGTGTTGCAGACATTCCATACAAACAAGCATGGACTATTTAGCATATCATATCGCTACTCACTTAGACACGGAGGAAACGACCAGACGGAACACAAAGCGGACAACATAAAAAACACAAAGAACCACTGGAAGAAAAGAAGTTATGGATACTGCGATTGCAAGTCTATGTGTGTGTGTGTGTGTGTGTGTGTGTGTGTGTGTGTGTGTGTGTGTGTGTGTGTGTNGAGAGAGAGAGAGAGAGAGAGAGAGAGAGAGAGAGAGAGAGAGAGAGAGAGAGAGAGAGAGAGAGAGTTGAAATGGACGTAATATGTGCGCGTTGTACATTATCACCACAACAGCCCCTGTTCCAGCCAGATGAGTAGATCCAAAATCCAAGCAGCTTTACATTTACTGCAGACAATGAAGCACACTGAAAATGAGCCAATCCAACAATGAAACAGTTGTACCTCTATAGGAACCAAGATGAAGCACAACAGATCTGTTATATGAACTTATATCCATTTCTTCACTATCTTTACTCCGGCTTTCTTTGGGGTACCCCTTTTATTTGTTCTCGCAGCTCACCTTTTACCATGCCTCTCACGTACAAGGTTCGCCACGTTGACTGTGGTTGAGAACACAAGCTGCCCACATCCCCGTGTGCCATAATGGCCCTCTTGCATGCTATGAAAGGAGGCAGAGTAAAGGTGTGTGTGTGTGTGTGTGTGTGTGAACTGTGATTTGTAGGAATACATGTACCCAACCTAACCACACCCAATTTGAAAACCAACCACCCATACCCACTGTATACCTGGCCTACCAGACCTTTACCCATCTCCACCTGCTCCAAAAGAAAAAGACGTGTACCCATACCTGCCTTATCTGAACCTCTTCAGACTGTAACTGCCCATACCTGCCCATGGACTTTTTTTTTTCAAAACCACCCATGGCCACGTGAACCCAAACTATTTGTTAACCACTCATACCCTACGCAGCCCAGGTTTTCTTTACCAGTACCCACCCACAATTGTAGGCACCCACCCGTAACCAGCCATGCCCGTCTCCTGAGTCCTGACGCTTGCTGCGGCTGCTGATCACACCTGAAACGCCCTCCTGCTGGGTCACACCTGCGACGCCGGCCATGGACGCTATGGAGGATGGACAATTACGGGTGGCGGGGAGGACGAAGGGTGGGGACGTGAACGACGGTTGGAGACTCCGGGGAGTAGTGGGAACACGGAATGGAAAGGGGCGGGAGGCAATGGCCTTGCTCCGCTACTCGCGAAATGTTGAAAATGAGAATGAATCTTTTTGTTTTCTTCTTTGCATTTCGTGAGTGGTGAAGCGAGGCAACACTCGAAAGGTCCAACTCGAAGTCAGGAAACTTTTGGGCTTTCAACAACGCAGCGGCACGGCAAAAAAAAAAAAAAAAAGGCTGTTTGGGACTTTTGACGAGGCAGCGGGATAAATTTCTTTTCGCCTAGAAGTTGTAGTGGCATGAGAGGGGGGCCGAGGGAGGGGGGTGGCTGGACTGGGGAGTTGGAATGGGTAGGCACCAGGTATTCCACGGTAACCCGATAGGAACCTGTCTACCCACCCGTACCCATACCATTTTTTTTCGTTGCCACCTGTACGTGCCCATACCTGTTCTATGTTTCTTTTTGGCCGCCCATACTAGGGTTTTTTCTTTCCCCCCTGCCCCTACCTGCCCTTACCCGCCCATGATCTCCATAAGGACAACTGTGCCCGCCCTAACAACGGGCACTATTGTTTTGCCTGCCCATACCGAACTCCCACTTTGGAAGGGGTACCCAGCACCACCCATAACCTAGCGGTTACAGTTGGGTACGGTCGAGTACGGGCAACGGTGACCTGTTCGCCCTCGCTGGTGTGTGTGTGTGTGTGTGTGTGTGTGTGTGTGTGTGTGTGTGTGTGTGTGTGTGAGAGAGAGAGAGAGAGAGAGAGAGAGAGAGAGAGAGAGAGAGAGAGNTGTGTGTGTGTGTGTGTGTGTGTGTGTGTGAGAGAGAGAGAGAGAGAGAGAGAGAGAGAGAGAGAGAGAGAGAGAGAGAGAGAGAGAGAGGTGAACCGCATCCCTAAGTGAAACCCTTCCTTTTTCAAGCTACAGTTATGTGGGCTTTCCGCTGGGACTTTCTAGGGCACACTCACAATAGAGTTTTCCAGGATGTGTCTGACCCGCCCCCCATTATGAACGCGGTCAGTCAAAGAGTCCAAGGGTGGGTGTGGCGTGAGTAAAGTCCAGGACTCCTGTGCAACCTGGGTTGTCAGGTTGTGTTACACATGTGGCTTGAGCCTCTGCCAACCCCCAACGAAAACCACATAGTTTTCAAGTTTAAAATTTGAACTGTGTTTATCGGACTTTATCATCTTTCTGAAACCATTAGGTTTGAAGTTGGAACTTGGAGATTTCTGAAACCATTAGGTTTGAAGTTGGAACTTGGAGATTTTACACTGTCAAAATAGAAAAAAAAGAAAAAGAAAAAAAAAGCAGAGGTGTCACTCTCCTGCTTGCAGATTGCACAAGCTTCAATCCTTACAACCACCACCACCTGGTCACGACATCAGCCTTTCTGCCCACTTTGCTCGGTTCTAATTTACCACATTCAGCTTCTGCTAAGGTCCATTTCGCCGCAACCAACCGCCTCTTCTCGTAACCTAACGAGCAGCCTCATGTCACCAGAACTTCCTGCACACACACACACACACACAAAATAAATAAATAAATAAATAAATAAATAAATAAATAAATAAATAAATAAATATATAAATAAACAAATCATAATAATAATAATAATAATAATAATATAATAATAATAATAATAATATAATAATAATAATAATAATATAATAATAATAATAATAATAATAATAAATCATCAGCATGCTATTATAGGGGATAGCCAGGCAAGAAGGCACCAACTACACATTTGTGCTCTAGACCAACATTCTCACTCTTCCTCTAGCATTTTAAACATGTGCTTGTTTTGCCATCGTTTCCCGACTCAAATTGATATCATTATAAAATGTGACAAAGCAAGGGGAATAAAACTTAGGGGAAGGGTGTCAGTACCGACATCCATTTCAGACCTTGCGAGGAATATTTTCCTGGTCACTATCGACATCTTGCACAAAGATTCCAAATCCAAGTTGTGTTGCCCTTTAGAGAAAAAGCTTGGTAGTGCCCACTTCTCAAAATAGCTTGATTGTGTGCACTTCTCAAAATAGCTTTTTTTTTATTGGGATGCTTCTTAACCGAAACCTTCATTTTTTGTACTTGTCAGCTGGCTGAATGGTACTCGCATGAATTCCTAAGTTAGTAAAGTTACAGATAAAGTTGATAAACAGTTTAAATCCCATGGGTTCAATGCTGTTAGAGGCTACTGTCGTTCAAGGGAATGAAGTATGAGCTGCTTCTTCTAGTCGACTAATAGTTATTGAGACTCTCCTCTTTTTAGATATGACAAAAGAAAAAAAGAATAGTAACGCTAGTAGAAACTCTCTTTCAAGAAATAGAAGAGAAGATAGGGCACAAATTCCTTCTTTCAGGTGGTTATGCCTTGAAAATTCAACTTAAGCTCATTCAAATAACAAATAAAACGAGACTTGTTAGTAAGTACATCGTACTTGTAAAATGGTAATTCGATTTTATGTTGTGTGGTATTAAATGATTTTATATCTGCTTAAATAAGTTATTCTCTTGCACATTTCACTTTTTTTGCTTACCTACAATATGACTCGTATATTGCAATACAACTTTATTATGAAGACGATAGACCAAAGTTTAAACTTAATTATGCAATACAATTATATAACCTACAAAATGACTCTTAGATTTCTTGTAGAGGCACAATGGAGCAACCACTGAAATCTTCTTACCAGAATGGAGCAGCTGCTTCAATTTTCCTGTGTGATGAAACCAGACAACAACACAATGGACAAAACCACTCAACATCATTAGAATCTTATCTGCTTAGCAACTCTTACCTTCTTCCTCCACTCTTGTGTCTTTGTTTTTGTCTCCTTTCTATTTACATTCATTAGTTTAAGCCTTTAAGGAGTTTCTTTATTTTTCTTTTTGTCTTGGCTTATAACAGGCGCAATACACTTTTGGATGCGTCAACCATACACAACCTCACCAATCACGTGTCTACTCAACAAAGGACCTCAATCCTATGTCAAGGTCTGACAATCAATGAAGTGTGCAAATAGTTAACATTGCACAATATCAATGCAAACCAAGCAAGGCAAGGAAATCCAAATATAAACAACGTCAAACCATAAAATGGGAACACAAAACAATTGGAAGAAGTTGACAACATCTTTGTCCATTTACAAAAAAATATTGACCATAACCCTCAACACAACAATAACCATGACGATGAACTTAAATAATGTGATCGAGTAATAAATATCACCAACAAGGTGGAAAACAGCATAGATCAAATACACTAGATAGGTGAGAAAAAATCAAATGGCTTAATGGATAACATTTCACAAAATCAACAAATGGAAAATACAAGCAGCATGAACAAGACGAGATCAACAAGATGCACAAGAAAAACAAAATCGACAAAGTTGGCAAAATTGATTAGTAAGGTATGATTCATAAAATGAATAAGATTTATTAGATCTCTTTGACGAATAAGATGGATATCAAAAATAAGATTAGATGACAACACATTAGATAATCAAAATCAACAAGCTCGATTACAAATATACAGCAGCCTCAGCAGGATCAATAAGATTGATTAAATATATAATATATATAAGGATCCAAAAGATTGATTAAGTGTACAATACATACGATACATAGGTATGAGGTAGATAAGATAAACAAGACAAAAGACATCAGATCTTATAGGTTTCTGATGTCTGGAGCTCGAATGTCTGACCGGATCTTGAATATTCCGACTGGTATTCAAGTTTTTTTTTTTGTCCAGAATTTCCAACAAACTTTTTTTTTGACTTTTTCTAATTCCAAAACTTGAAAAAGGTATATTTTTGTTTTTTTTTTACTCTCCAAATTTATTACGAATTTGAAAGTTGACCATCCGCCAAATGTTGTTTGTGTTGGAGTCCTCTACAATTTTTTTCATAATGCACAACCTATCTTCTCCATTGGACGTGAGGAACAACGTGTCGATCATTAGTGCTCGGACACTTTGTGCGGTTCACTTCTAACACACTACGACTACATATGCATCTCCAATTTTCTGTAGCAACTTTTGGCCTATGTCAAGGTAGGTGAATATGCGCAAAACAAGTCTGTTTTATGGGGCAACGGATCAGCTATTGCATTGTACTTCCGTTGACTGGGTTCAACTCAAAGTTAATTCCATTGACTGGCAGTCTAGACTATGTCTTTAACCATCATGGGGTTTCATGATCCAAATATACTTTAAAATGTCTACCAAGGAGACAAATTTTGGCAAGTCCACAATCCCTGATACAACATGTACAACTCTCGCATGCGTTGATCAAGCTACTTTCTCAAAGAGGAACAACTTAGACATGAACTCTACAGGGCGATACCCATAGTCGCCATTTTGCTGCAGCACAACCTTTATCCCAAACTGACTTGCCTTTGTCGTAAGTACGAATAATAGGGAGGGGTTTGCAATCTTAACGGCTGAATACGCTGTCAACGTGAACTTCAACTTCTTGAATGTTGCGGTGTAGTCCTTGGCCCACTGCCATATCGCTTCCTCCTTCAGTAGTCTACATAATGACGTCGCGCTGTAGAGAAATTTCACACAATTGTTTTGTAGCAATTTGCTAGTCCTAGGAACGATTGCGGTTCGTTAAGAGTCTTTGGCGTTACTCAGTCCCTTATTGCTGCTGTCTTCTTATCTTCAAGTTGTATGTCATCTCAGTCTATCATGAGGCCAAGTTACATCAATTGCTGCTGAACCCACTCAGACTTCTTCGGGTTTACTTCGAACTTACCTTCTCTCAACTTCGATAAGACTCTATGTAGATGTTCTACATGCTCTCGCAAATCTTATTGGACATTAAAATATCATCTAAACATACGACTACAAATTGATCAAGCCAGTCTCTAAATAGTAAATAGGTCGTTCATGCAACATTGGAACGTCACAGAGGCGTTTGTCAATCTGAAAGGCATCACAACAAACTCGTAATGTCCATATCGCGCACAGAATGCAGTTTTGTCTGATCTTCCTTCACTTCTTCAATCCGCTGATACCCGGACTTCATATCTATGTTTGAAAAATAGTAATACTTACACCCTATAAATGGTCTTCTAGATTACCTCTGTTTGGTAGTGGTTCTGCATTCTTCATGGTAATCTTGTTCGAGCCTTGACAATCTATGCACAGTCATAATTCACCTTTGGCATGAACTAAACAGGTGCACCGTATGGAGACGAGCTCGGTTTTATCAACCCTTTTTTTTTTTTAATCAACCCTTTTTCTACTAACTCGTCGAACTGCTTTTGCAACTCTTTTGAGTTCTGCATGGGACATCCTATAAATCGGACCCTTTGGGTCGTACTGCTGGGTTCGATCTCAATCCACTGTCTGATTTTCCTTTCCCACACAGCTCCAGGTGCCTTCTCTAGCTAGAGCTGCAAATTCTCAAAGTATCGATTTTGATCAAGGGTGGCACCTCGTCTTCACTTTTCCGAGGTACTAGCCTGCTGGTCCTTATTGTCTTTCTGGAATTTAGCAGTGCTACAAAAACTTGATCTACCATCTCTTTTCTCAGTCCTTATCTAAAGAGCCCATGTGCGATCATGCAACACACAGACAATGAGGAGTTCTTCCCTGATTCACAGAACAAGCAGACCTCCTTTTTACTCCCATTAGTACTCGGTAGCCAACACTCCTTGGCTCTCATCTTGATGTGCATCTGCCTCTTCTCCGCAATCCTTGCCTAAGATCACGTCACGGATAAGTATTAAGTTCTCTTCCATGAAGAGAATAATGAAGTGTAATACTTCTCTACCTTCTCTCATCCCTCCAACCGAAAGTATCCCTTTTTCCGTCTATATAATGTGTCACACTGATCTGGCTATTCTATGCTAACTCTGAACCGATAGGCTGATTGAAATCTTTCACTTTTTTTTTTTTTTCCTTTCTTTTCTTTTTTTCTTTTTTTTTAAAAAAGGGGTTGCGGGCAGCAGCATCAGACTTTTTATGCCACAGCCAGCGTGGAGTTGACTGGTCATCGTAACTCTCTAACCCCCTTCCCTCTACACACAATACCCCTTTGGGACTTTCATCCCCACTTTGGCACTTTGTGAGCCTTGGACCCCTGTTCGGTGGACTCGGCCGAGGATTGCCCTCGCAAGGTTAGAGACGAACTCTGCGTACCCAGTCCGTCTCGGTGCACCCCGACTGGCAACGACCCTTGGCTCCGTGAACAGTGGACTCTATACCCACTAGATCGCATTTATCATCGTCTCAGGGGCCCATGTCAAAATCTTTCGCTTTCATACCTACATCAGGCTACGTGCAACTTTTTTATGCTCTCCATCTTGCCATGAAAGCCTACTATTGAGGTTGCTCATATCAACTCGAAAAATGGGTTTCTCAAAAGGAAAAAAGAAAAAAAAAGAAAAAGAAAAAGGAAGACATAAGAAGCTCGGGCTCAGATTTTTCTGCAGTGCGCTTCACCTTACGCGATGAGGTTGTGGGACGTGATAGCAGGTGAGGCGAATTCTAAATCATAACTGGCTTACCCTTTTGCTGTATGGCTGTCAGGTTGTACCTTGTCTCTTTTCTGCGCCGAATGTTGATTTTATTTATTTATTTTACTTTTCCTTGTCCTTTCGTTTTCCCCTTTCTTCCTCTGTTTTTTCTTGTTTTCTATGGAACAATCCCTCCCGGGCAGGGGAAACAAGAGCTGAAGTATCACGCCATGGCACCAGCAGGCCCCCTGTAAAAAGGGCAACGTGGCGAGCCCCAGGACCCCCTTCAACGAGGGGGTTCATCACTCTGGTTAGGGAGTCATAGGTTCCCATGCACCTGCAAAGCCTGAGGGCTTGATTGTGAGGACCCCAACTTGCCTTTTTAGGCAATACATATCATCGGGCTGGCCGACAATCAGGTCAGGTATTCCCCTGACGTGCGACCCTTTATTTCGCAGCGTCTGCGGCTCTGCGCTATCTACCAGGCGCTCTGAACTTGAGAGCTGAAAAGACAATTGTTAGGAAGGAGCCACAACTTTCGGCCCTGAATATGAAGACTCTCGGGTCCCCACGAGTCTCGTAAAAAGCGAAACTGAGTAATGCTCCCAGCAATGTGATTTCTGTTCCGGGTAGACTGTGAGGACCCCGACCTCGCCCTTTCTTAATTGGATAATATGATTAATATCAGTCTTGGGCATTGGGCCCCTGTTTGGGGAGAAAAAAAAAAAGAAAAAAAAAAAAGACTTTCGGCCCTGAATAGCAGCCCCAATTCTGATGACGACCATTGCAGTGAGACTTTCCTTATCCTTTTTAACTTTCTTCTTCGAAGTTCGAAATCTACTTCTTTTCTCTCGTTTTAAAAATTCCGAAAAACATCAGGTTCATAACTTCGTAGATCTGGCGCTGATTCTTTTTCGGGAAAAAAACTTTTCGAAAAATAGAAAAGCAATTGCTGCAATTCTAAGATGGGGAAATAGTAAATACTAAATAGATCTGTGTGGCAAACGTTCACATATTTTTATAGTTGTTTTTCTCTTTTCGCTGCTACTGGTGGGCCCAAAAACGTCTGTTGAAACACGCTACTGGGGTCCCCCAAATTTGGTAGTGCAATATACCTTTCTCGGCCTTTTGGCTAAGATCAAGTGTAGTATCTGTTCTGATCAGTTTAATATCTGATCCGTGACCCATCGTGTCACAAAAAAAATAAAAAATAAAAAATAAAATAAAATAAAAATTGGTAGTGCGGGACGAACTCCTGATTTAGAACAAACATATCCTCATAAAAGTTCAGTTTTGTCTGTCCCACGACGGCCGACGCCGGGCAGGTTCATGTGTGACATGTCAGCTACTGTGTGACAAAGATAGCAAGTGCGCTATATGTTGCGCAATGATTGCGAGTGTTAGTTACTGTGCTAGAGCGACAAGCATGTCACATTCACTCTTTATTTTTTTCACTATTGTGACTGCCATGACCATAACATGGCATAAAGGCCAAAAAAAAAAAAAAAAAAAAAAAAAAAAACAAGGCATAAGGGCTGCAATCTGCTGCACACATGGTGATCAAAGTAGTCGAGCAGTGGAAAGTGAAAATAGTATTTTCACGTTCCACTGCTAGACTATTGTGATCGGCATGTGTGCGATTCTGTGGCATTCTGGCCGCACTAATGAAGCGCAGAATACGACTTCCATTCCATGGCCACTGCTAGACTGTTTTTAATTTTCACGTTCTGTGTTTCCATGGCTGAATAGAGCCAAACAAACAAGAAAATATGGCTCACAACCAAACGAGCATCAAGTGGGATATCGGGGGGGGGGGGGGGGTAAGGAGGGGGCAGGGAGGGACGGGCTGCGGTTGTGGGGGAGGCTGTTTGGAAGAGATTTTTTCTGTTTATTACCGTTGCCTACCGGCCAGTGCAAGAGCGAAGTCATCTCCACGAGGCTCCTCCTCAAATGTGTCCATCAACAGATATCTCTCCTTTTTCTCTGGAAGATCTTCTCGCTTATATACCTCATACGGGCCTGGATAGGAGTATCTGTTCAAGAAATCAATCCGATGAAAGCACATCACATGACTCACATCAAAATGGTTGCCCAGCAGCCCAGAGGCATTTCCCGGCTTTCTTTCTGTGTGTGTGTGTGTGTGTGTGTGTGTGTGTGTGTGTGTGTGTGTGTGTGTGTGTGTGTGTGTGTGTGTGTGTGTGTGTGTGTTCCACGTTCGTGAGAAAACCTGGTCTCTATATTGTGGCCCATCTATCCACTGCTGATCATTACGTTAAATAGTTTCTGATTGCAGCAGCCATGACTCTTGTGATCGAGTCCTTGGGGACATCTGTTAAGAAAATTGGAAAGCTACAGAGAACGTGGACAAGATAAGCATGGTGGCTCCTGTGCAAGGATGACATGCATAAACTGAGGTTCGTGTGACCGTGATTGTTGTGGTTGCAGCCACAGCCTCAGTGGCATCAGCAGTGGCAGTGGCAGCAGTACCAGAAGCACATCAGATGATCCGTCAGTGCACGGACAGGAATGCCTTGAGGTCCTAGTGGATGTGCTAGTTTGTGGGGAAGAGATTCGCTCCAATAAGGTTGAGGCCTTGAGGGTTTCATTTCTTTTCAAGTTTAAACTTTAAACAGAATAATGCTGCGTAAGTCTACATAAGCGTCATTATCCGTAATGGACAATTGTTGACAACAACGATAACTCATGAACGACAAAGTTTATTCTATATATAGTATATACCTTATTGATACAACTTATTGTTTTTTAAGGTATAATTCACTATTTTCGGTCAAGCTTGTATATAAATCAAAACAAAATCATTCTATAAGTCAAGCTTTCGATCCTTCATTAATACTAATAAAAAAAAGAATCAAATGAAGAAAGAAGTATTGCATCAATACTTCTTGATTGATTCTTTGGTTAAAAAAAAGACTCATTTATTTACTTATGGCACATGACAAGACAATGTGGCAAGCCATCCAGGACGATGAACAGTTGCTGCATTAGGGACCCGATGCATTGTGTCAGGTTTGAGAGAAACCGGTGTCAGCATCAAGGGAACCCGATGCATCGTTCCGAGTGCTCCTACACTGCATCAGCGACCCGATGCATCGTTCCGAGTGCTCCTACACTGCATCAGCGACCCGATGCATTGTATCAGCATCAGGGACCACACACCAGAGTGCTCCGACAATTGCATAGAAGAAGTTGGTTACCGATAAGTTAAAAAAAAAAGATGGAAACGATAACATATCTTAAATCAAATTTAATCAATCGGATTCAATCCACAATATGAGTAATTATCCGTAAGGGATAATTGTTGACAAGAAAGACCACATAACTGATGAACAAGAACATTTATGGAACACATGATGACGAGACAATGTGACCAGGCATTTGGAATGACGACAGAAGGCGGCATGCCTCACCACACACCTGAGTGCTCCGAGAATGGGATAGAAGTTGGTTCCCGATAGGTACAAAAGCCGGAAATGATAACATGTCTTAAATGAATCCACAAACTCCATTCTCTCTTTTCTCCCTGCAACCTGCACGGTCCGAGAAAGCGCACTCACAACAAAGACAATCAGATAACAAAAGAAAACATCAACATCATAGTCCAGACTCCAGATCCCTGCTAACCACTGAGAAGATCAGACCACTTACACACAGAGCGACGCTGCACTCTGTGTGTGTGCTGTCTCTTATACACATCTAGATGTGTATAAGAGACAGTCCTTATCCAGTGAGATAGCAGGTGGGCAAGGTGTGCACAATTTGTACATATTTGTGTGAGAGGCTAGATACGTTCCACGACTGTCAAATTTGCANTGTGTGTGTGTGTGTGTGTGTGTGTGTGTGTGTGTGTGTGTGTGTGTGTGTGTGTGTGTGTGTGTGTGTGTGTGTGTGTGTGTGTGTGTTTTGTCTGGGATCGTCAACCAGCAACATCGATTCCATACAATTTCAAAGCAATATAAAGTATTATAAAGTTAATATAAACCAAATACAGGACACCAAAGATGTACGAGGTCCACGTCTGTCTGTGTGGTTGAGCAGGGAATGCCCACACATCTGTCCACTTAACGCACATTTTTTGTGCAGCAAATATCCGAGGCCTTCATCATGAAATGAAAGAATTCAAAGAATACAACTGATTATACCGGGGCCCTTACCTTCCCTTTGGCTTACGCTGGAAAACAGGTCCAGTGCCAGTGTCCCCATCAACAAAAGAAAAAAATCATATTGCCAAGATTACCCTGGGAAGCCATGCGCCATGGCAGTTTGGGCGCTGGGTAGAAGACCGGGGCCATAGCAGGTTGGGCGCTGGAGAAGAAGGGCGGCACCATAGCTGTGGAGTAACCGAGAAGGAAGAAGGTGGTGCTGATTCTGCTGAACACTGAACAGGGAGATCCTTTGGAAAGAGGAGCCGGCGGAGAAGGGACGAGTTCGTTGGATACTTACTGTTGGTCGGGACGGCGAGCTCCAGCCTGTTGGTCAGACAATTCATACCGACCTGTTGGTCGGCAGGGAGAGCTCCCGCTGGGTCACACTCTTCAAGCGGTCATCAGCAGGAGCGAAAGCGGCACGGAACTCTGTGAGATGACGACGCCATGGTGTTGTATAGGGTAGAGAGTAGATGATAGGGCAGGTGGTCGCTAGGACTGGTACAGAGCCCCGAGGGGGGATAGAAACACTATGTTGGTGTAAATGGTTGTTGGAGGCGAGAAAGGGAGCTTCCGTCATCAAGAGGCTTCAGCAGTGTCCATTCTTGTGCACTTGTGACCATTTCTTTATCGATTGCCCTATAACTGCCTCATTGCCACGGGCATGTTGATCAAGCGAGAGTGCATGGTGCATGTGGTCTGCGATTCTCCACAGCGCAGGTTCCTTTTTTGCAGAGAACATTATTATCTCGGACAAGATGGAAACCTCCACCTGCCTCTTTCGGTGCATGGCCTCTCTACGGCGTTCGCTGGAAAGACTGTGGGGTTGGCGGTATGGATGGGACGCTCGGGGTTGCAGGTTGTTCCGACGGAATCCAAATTGTGTACACTGTGTTCAAACTTCAAATCTGTGAGTGTGTATTCTCATTCTACGGAGTGGATTGTGACGTACGTTCTCACACTTAAACCTCCACCTGCCAATTGAAAAAAAAAAAGAAAAAAGACAAAAGCAGTTCAGCTGATGTATACCATTCAGTCACCTCCTGGATAGATACAGGGCAAAACAGCTTTACTTTTTTTTTTTTTTCTTAGGTAATTCAGAACTACCGTTTTTTTTTTTTGTTAATCTGACTGCATCTGGATTCGAACTTGGGTCCGTATTTCAACAGTTCATGGGCGTACCAACTGAGCTACGCCCGTCCGTCAAAACAGGTTTACGACCTCACTAAACAACTTCCATTAAGCATGGAGGAAGCGAGCGGGAGGAGGCCTGGAGAAAGATGAGGGCGCTCACGAAAAGGAGATGGAGGTTGAGTTTTCACAAAAAAGTGGGGGTGAAACAGGACCCTTTCGTGACAAAGGGAGACAAGAGAGGCCAAGAAAAAAAAATGTTCAGGGCATTCTGCAGAACGAGCTTGCAAGTTGGCAAATGCTCAGTCGGTACACCCCTGCCTGAACTGTTGAAATACAGACCCCTAGTTCGAACCCCAATGGAATCAGATGAGTGAAAATAACTCTGAATTTACCATTGGAGGGCTGGTCAGTTCGAAGATGGTATCTCAAGATCGTCGCTCTTTTAAAGTTAAAACTTAAAAAAAAAAGCTAGCAAAAGGTCCAGGTTATGGTTGTACCTGCATTACCCCCGCAGCACTTGGCATATCCTGCATTTTCCAGATCGCAGCAGCAGCACGTCACACAAGTAGTAGGAGGAGGAATGGCCCACAAGTTCCATTTTTTTGTTAATTAATAAGAACTTCTCTACAGCCCAAGCTTTCACTCATCCGTTGAGCAGTTAAAAGTTTAAACTTAAACATGATTTTTTTTTCTTCTCAGGAACGACAGAAAGCACAAACGTGTAGCAGAGCAATGAATAAACACTAGCACACGACACAAAGGTTGACAAGACAGTGAAAACAGTTCAAAACACTGAAAACACAATTGCTTGATTGAACAACTTTCATTTGCTTCTTTCACTGATTTCTTCTTCCACAGCAAGTTCTGCTAAAAAAATGCTTGTGATCGTCACCCATTTACCGTTGGAAACAGCATCAATTACCTGAGCTACGGTTCATATTACTTCAGAATGAGAAGAAGAAGGATAAGAAAAAAGAAGAAGACAAACACGAACACGAACACGAACACGAACAGGAACACGAACACGGACACAAACACGAACACGAACACGAACACGAACACGAACACGAACACAAAGACGGAGACGAAGACGAAGACGAAGACGAAGACGAAGACGAAGACGAAGACGAAGACGAAGACGAAGACGACGATGAAGACGAAGACGACGACGACGACGACGAAGACGAAGACAGACACGAACACAAAAACAGAGACAAAGCCGAAGAAGAAGAAGAAGGAGAAGAAGAAGAAGAAGAAGAAGAAGAAAAAGAAGAAGAAGAAGAAGAAGAAGAAGGAAGAAAGAAGAAACAAATGTTATCTCCCTCCTGTTCTCTCTTTGATCACCTCACTCACATAATCGCCGCGGCCTCTTATTATTGACTATTAAATACAATAATGAATGAACGAACAAGAGTCAATCTCCAAATGATCCCCCTTACTAATGAGCACTCAAAGAACAGGGAAGAGAAAGAAGAAAGGAGGACAAAGACGAAGAAGGAAAGAGAAGAAGTAGAAGAAGAAGAAGAAAGGAAGAAAAAGAAGGGGAAGAAGAAGAAGAAGGAAGAAAAAGGAGGAGACAAAGAAGAAGAAGGAAGAAGGAAGAGAAGGAAGAAGAAGAAGAAGTATCAAATCTGTCAATAGTGTCTTCTCTTTTCCTATTGATCTCCTTCGTACATTTCTCAAGGGTGCGCAGTGCGTTTTCTTTTTCCCTAATCTTGCCCTTGTCCTGCTCTTATACCGTTTTTATTTGTTTTCTAACCAAGACGTTGAAGGACAAATCGACAGTCTTCAAAAAAAAAAGAAAAAAAAAAGAAAGCAAATAAAAGAAAAAGAAAGAAAGAAAGAAGAAGAAGAAGAAAAGAAAGAAAGAAAGAAAAAAGAAAGAAAGCAAGCAAGACATATAGACAGTATTAGATCCACATAGAAAGTTTGATAGCACACACACACACACACACACACACACACACACACACACACACACACACACATACACACACCTTTAGTCTGGGATTAACAATGATCACTGGTCTCTTTCCTGCTGCCATCACCATGCGTCCAAGGTCCTGCAGACATCAGTTCCAAAATTTTTGCCCCGCAATCTCAGAAAAAAAAAAGGACTACACACAAATGCGGATAATAGTCAGCCGCCGGATTCACTGATAAAAAAAGAGAGCGTTGAAGAAGCAAGAGAGTTGCCCTGGCGGAGGGAGAGGGAAGAAGAAAAGATGGACAGCAAGTTGAAGATGGTTTTGAAGAGGGGAGAGGGAGAGGGAGAAAGCAGAAGAGAAGGACTTTAACAGGATAACGGAAAAATTCATTGATTGCAACATGGAGAGAATTATTTGAATTTATTTCCCGAAAAAAAAAAAAAAAAAAAAAAAAAAAAAAAAAAAAAAAACCAACAACCGTTAGAAACCCGCCGAGTCATGAACATTGGTCTGGTGCTGAAGTGCTTCCGATTGCATCTCTTAGTGTAGGCTAGGATAGGTGTTGTAGCCTTTTAGGATAGTTGATTGGGTGGCAGGCGCCATGCTGAAGAGGGACATTGATAGATTGTTGGTGGAGGCGAGATGGGGGCTGACATTGACAATTGGGTTCATTGCTTTGCTCTTATTTGGTCTGCCGCAGTTAGGGCATTCATTCTGTCTGGGCGAGTTGATGCGCAGCAAGCGTGCTGGAGGAGACTACGTAGCACCCAGCAGAAGCAGACGCAGCACCCATAGCCAAGTAGGCGCCGGCAGTAGTATATGGTAGGCACTATCTCTGTAGCTGTGGGAGAGAGAGTGTATGTAAGTGAGGACAGAGTGTTCGAGGTGGGATGTGGCATGTGAAGAGGGAGTTTTGCTTACCTTGCGTCTTGTGCTGATGCTTTTCTCAGTGGTCATCGATATGCTGTTCGAGATAAGCTGCACTGCCATGTGCGGGCTTGATTGGACTTGTGATTGCCTGAAAGTGGCAGTGTGCCAGGGAGAGGTATGCTTGGAGAGAGAAGGTGAACTGACTGGTAGTAGGAAAATAAAAGCTGTGTTGGGAGTTGTCTTGAGAGAGAGACTTCTCGACGGGCGAAAGAGAGGCGATCGGACGAGAAAGTACCCGAAGTTGAAGAGGGAGAAGTTTGACATGGTAATTTCTGATTCCTAATGAAATTATTATTCTCCTCTCCTCTATCATCATCCTCTTCCCCTTCCCCCCTTTCCCCCTCTCCCCCTCCCCCATTGCCCCCCCCCCACCCCCCCCCCCCTTTCCCCCCCCCCCCCCCCCCCCCCTCCTCCTCTCCTTCCTCATCATCTTGCATTCTGGACAAGTCCATGAGAGTGTTGAGATTGAAAATTGAAGTTCATTGAACTTAGCAATGAGGACCAGGTTCATTGCACATATATACCTGGGACAGCCTAATGGTTAGACTGGTCCAGGGGTATGCCGGGAACAAGTCTGGGACCAGAAGCGTGCCAACGGAAGACGTCTAGGGAACAGAAGGTAAATGTGCTGGTACTGAGGACATGCCAAATGATTGTGTCCTGGGACCTGGTAGCAGGCATGAGGTCAGGGGATCAAGCCCTTGTCAGATCTGTAAGACAATCTCTCTTGCTCCTGGTCGCCGTGCTGAGTACTCCGTACTATGCAAGGACCTGTCGGGGCGAAAAGCTTGAAGTAAGGCAAGGAACTTAATTTTTTTTAAGAAAACTAAGAAAAGGCAAAAAAGTGGGGGGGGGGGAAGCAGAAAAAAAACTTGTTGTCAAACCCTCAAAACTTCAAAAGCTACTGATTGATTGGAAAATGGAATGGGTGAGCAGTGAGCAGACAAGTACTACCGTAGTCCAACGCCAATCATGTAGGCAGGAGGCAAAGCCTCTGCTGGAACTTGTGACCAATTGTAGCGAAAAGAAGGGGTGGGGACAGGAAGAGGAGAACTACTCACTCCTATGCTCCATAGCAAATGGAAGGAAGCCTTTTTTTTAAGAAAATGGATGGGGCCCAGGTTTTTTTCAATCATCACTTCCAAGGTGTTTATCAGCAGATCCAGACTATCTAGTAGCTAAAGCCCAGGTGCAAATCAGCACTCTGTTTTTCTCTGGGTAAAATCTATATAGTTATTAACTTATTAAGTTATTATAGTATAGTAACTATAGTAATTATAGTATATCTATACCCTTCTGCGAGGCACAAGGCCTCGATAAGCCCCACTGGGCCCTATTTGCAACAGCGTCGGCCGCCCTAAGTGAAGGCAGGCCCGACAGACCCTCAGAGGCCTATTTTGGACTACTTCGCAACTGGGAAATTCAGGCAGTTGCGCTGCGCCAGTTGGTTGGAAGCGCCCAGGCCCTGGCTTCCTTTATCAAATGCATCTGAGTCAGGCCCTGGGCGAGATTAGCACCATAGGCCCAACTCAGGTTGCGGGCAGTTGGGCACAGGTAACTGTCAGCAGCCCTGGGCCAATTCGTTTGGTCTGGGCCTCAGTCTACCAGGGCCTACCGGAAGCTTCTTGGGAAAGGCCCAGCGCAGCCTGGGACAGAACGCAGGCAGGCCATTTCCATATAGCAAAGGGCCTGCCTCCGCATTGGACATTCGGGTCCTGGCTGCATTCTGCGCAAGCGCTGCTGTGCTGAAGCTGGCTGGCACTCACGCGCTCACGGGCGAGCTGAAAGGAGCAGGCAGCCATCGCCAAGCTGCGCTGCTGTAGGCTGGGTGTGGCGCTTGGTGGTCCTTGGGTGCATGTGGCATCTGTGTGTTGAGGAACGAGGTTGTGAGTGATGCGAGAGACATACCTGGTGCTGGAAGCGTGCGGAATTGGCCGCTATCTGCTCGTACTTCGGGAGAGCTGTTGTCGTCATCTTCGGCATTGTAGTCTAGGCTAGATAGGATCTGCCATCTGTAGTCTGGGCGCCGAGTGCCAGATAGGATATCAACATTGGTTCTTCGTTGATGATGATGATGAGACTATTCCAGCATTGTCAATCATGAGCTTCTGGTGTACTCTTAGTTGGTGAAACTCGTGATGCAATTCTGCTTTTGGTTCGAGGTCACGACTATCTGGTCTTATGTGTATGATGCTGTTTGATTGCTGAAGTTCGCTATTGCTCATCTTCCTTGCACTTCGAATTCACAGATCCCATTGGCTGAAAAGAATCACAGACTTTTTGGCATTGTGAATTTGTGAGCATTTTTTGAATTTTTTTCATTTCCATTTATTTAGCATAAATAACAGATGAATATATGAACAACTACCAGCTAGACGTATTTATGCCATATAACATACTGACTAAATCCTGCTTTCTCTCTCTCTCTCTCTCTCTCTCTCTCTCTCTCTCTCTCTCAATAAAGTAGGCACTGTGGTAAAAAGGAAGAAACTAGTTTTTCGAGAGTCTGTAGATCTCAATCCAAGAGTCAAACAAGAATGAATACCACATATAAGAGTAAAAACTAGACTTCCTACTACTATAGTCAAACAATTGACTGTTGAATATTGAAAATGATATAGCAATTG